CGCAACGAAACGATTTTATTTTGAAAAACTTTACGTTAAGCTAAACTCTCTCTCTCTCTCTCTCTTTCTCTCTCTCTCTTTCTCTCTTTCTCTCTCTCTCTCTCTCTCTTTCTCTCTCTCTCTCTCTCTCTCTCTCTCTCTCTCTCTCTCTCATCATAAAGGCATAATTCTGGAAATAATACGCAACGAATAGATTTAACTTTGAAAAACCTTACGTTAAGCAAAGCTCTGTCTCTCATTATAAAGGCATAATCCTGGAAATAGTATGCAACGAAAAGATTTCATTGTTATGAGATTTCTGCCTGGGTCTATCTAACATCACGGCGAAATAAAATAATCGAAGGGAATCGAGGAGTGTCACTCTTCGAAAAATATTCTTCATTCTTCTTCGTTCTTTTATCTTGCAGAAATGTCAATGACAATGTCGGTATAAACGGGATTCAGAGCTGATAATTAGTTCTACATATAACTTCCAAGGAGAATTTCATATTCGGTAACAAAAATATAAATACAAAATAAAATCATATATCATGTAAAGTAACATTTCAACAAATATTACTTAAAAAGTGGTCACAGGCACGGAAATAATTATAAAATAAATTAACATATAATTTGAAATAATATTTGAAACAATGTCATTTCAAACGTGCCGGGGCCTGTTCCTACGTAACAAAATACCTGAGCACGGTATCCACAATTTGGTCAACCTCCGCAAGATTTGGGCAACGTGGGCGAGACACGACCGCCATCTTGGTAGTGCCTAAAACGGAACCGCGTAGCCCTTCTGGCAGGTTCTGCGAGCCTGGTAGGCCTGTCAGCCAGGCCCATTTTTTCTCGGCTCGCCGAAAATTATTATCCACCCTACCGAACTCCTCGCGCCGTAGCCCCACCAATGATACCTTATCCAGGAGTGCGAGGAACCTCGCCCTGCTTGTTGCTTCCCTATTACAGGATGGTATTTAACTCGCCCATGGCAGGTCACTGGAGTGAACCTGCTCGGAACGTGTTCGACCCAAGGCGCCACGCGTCCCGTCCCCTCGGCTTCTAGTCGCCTAATAAAAAAATAGCCGCATTATCGATCTCTGCGAATCGATTTTATCACCCAGTTCGAGCGTACAAATCCATGGAGACCTCCGAGACGACCATGCTGGCCTGATCGGTGTCCCTGGTTATATAATATCCATATCCGGAATGATGGCACGCAAAAATTATGCTTCTGGCGCGCTTCTACGTCTCGTGGAAGTCCTCGAAGAATCCTGGAACGTTCGCGGAAAAATCAGAAACTGGTTGCGAGTTGGTTTGCTTAGCTGAGAGCTTCATCGGGTTCGTAGATGGAATACCTGAATACATATTGTTGCAAGGAAGTTGCCGGAATGATTCTCATTTTGATAGGATATTCTAGATGATGGTCGGTGAAATAGGATCGGTCTGCTGTAAACGAAACTGCCTGTGGAACTTTAGTACTTGTATATCTCTCGTCGCTGCTCAAGTGTAATAATAGTTGCTTTCGTAATTAGTGAAATTACAAACCTCGAGAAATTGGTCGACTTCTGACTGACGATAACTCCGCGAGGAATCCTTTAAATGAGAACTTGAAACCTTTGCTTTGAGATACTGTTTCTCGATTTTAAGTTTCACGCACCCACGCCGCTAGAATTATTGAAATATGAGGCCATTTTTGCCATGTTAAAAATTGCCTGGTTCGACGACATGCGCGTACCTTGCGAAATTTTTTTCGCGGATGCCGTTTACAGCGTAATATACTTCGATCCTTCCTCTTTAATTTAGAGAAAAAGAAACTTGGCTGCGATTTTTTTTCGCAAAGTTGCAGCACTCGAAGACAACCCTGTTAATGCAAGCTCTGGTTTCATGCCAAAAATGCAAGAGTTATTTTAAAGTGCTGTAAGTTTGCGAAGAAAAGTCGCAACCACGTTTCATTTGTTTTTAAATCGAAGGTGAAAGATCTAACTTCATTCCGCTGCAAATGGCATCTACGAAAAAATTTTACACAGTAAAATTCCTTACGACCACTAAAAGTTTCCTGTAGATAAAAATTAAAGCAACGTTGATGTGCATGTCTACTTTGCAGATGGCATAAATGAGGGGCTCGGCGGAAAACAGGCACATGCTACAATTTTATAATGTTAGAATAGAACCCATCGAAATAGATTGTGATTTCCATAGAAAATACGGTACCGAACGGAATGAAATAAATATATTTCAAATAATATACAAAATAGGTAGTAAATGGCGATCGCTGTTAAATTCTTGCTGCAAAATTCATTTTTTATTATTACATTTTTTGAATATTTAATGTTGCTACTTTCACTGAGTTTTTATGTAATATCATCCAATGACAAGCGAACGATTCGATAACAATAGGTTATGGAATTAATAAATTATATATATATGGAAACTAATAGAACAAAAAGAAAACAAAATTGCTGCTTTCTTCTTTTTATTTTATCGAATGCTGTGTAACCCTGTACAGGATTATTAGCAACGCACCTAAGTGCCTTATACGTTTCAGATAAATAACTAAATTAGGGGTAGCTGGGAACAACAATATGTACAAAAATGTGTGTAACAAATTACATTATAAGCAGACAATATGAGTGACAGCGGCCGAATTATAGATTAGTATTAATCACAAACGCAGCTAAACGGATCGCATTCAATTATGCGAAGAATTTTCATTGAAATTCCGCGATCGTCGAATACTTTTGGGACAATAATGGCGTCTTCCTTGCGAGGACGTCACCTGGTAATCTAACCGCTGCGTGCCCCATCCCACGAAGGGCAGATCGAACCCTAGAGAGTTCCACGCGTGTCATGCTCGCCTGTTCTTAAAACCAACCAAATTTAGACCCTACAAATGGAAAGGGCTCGATGCGAACCCACCAACCCACGCGAAGCGGTCGAGGGATCCTCTCTCTCTCTCTCGTTCCCGTCTTCCAAGACACACGCGCAGCAATGGCGGGCTGACCAATCATTGCTTGTCCAGGCTACAGACCCGATGACTTCTGTTCGCCTGGTCAGTGGTCAAACGAAAACATTTGTCAGCCGGAGAGAACCCGCATAAATTAACCCGAACGAAATTAACTTCTTGGGGTTATCTACGATCTAGAAACATTATTTTGTGCACGGCTTCGTTGGATCAGCGAGCATAAAACGTTGGGGTTCGCCGATCACTGTACATGATTGCGCCTTTGTTAATGAAAAATTATTAATAACCTCGCTACTTGCATAAAAGTTTCTCCTTTGTGTCCTATTTCTGTGAAGCGCTCTGTGCTCGGCGTGGCAGAAAATCTTGCAAATTACGCGGAAACGACGGTGTTCATTGATATTCGTCTGCGATTATTCTTCGTGGTTTTTTAGGGTTTTACAGTTGTAACTCTTTTGCGCTGTTGTGAAAATTGTGGCGTTGATATCGCGTAGATCGAATTCTAAAGTTGGAATTCTAAAGTTGGAACAGAATTGCGTGTACCTATTTGATCGCAAGAAATAACAACTTAGTTCTTCTCTTTGTTATTTGCACAAGTTGCAAACGATACAGCAAAATGATTCGCTGCTTCTGATATTTGTACCGTTCTGTGTGTCGTTTATTTATTTTTGTGATAATATCCGTAGTCTGTCCAATCAAGGAAGAAATCTTACCATATAAATTAATATAACCGAAATAAACTGTTATAGACAGATAACAGAAACCTTACCATATAAATTAATATAACCGAAATAAACTGTTATAGACAGATAACAGAAACCTTACCATATAAATTAATATAACCGAAATAAACTGTTATAGACAGATAACAGAAACCTTACCATATAAATTAATATAACCGAAATAAACTGTTATAGACAGATAACAGAAACCTTACCATATAAATTAATATAACCGAAATAAACTGTTATAGACAGATAACAGAAACCTTACCATATAAATTAATATAACCGAAATAAACTGTTATAGACAGATAACAGAAACCTTACCATATAAATTAATATAACCGAAATAAACTGTTATAGACAGATAACAGAAACCTTACCATATAAATTAATATAACCGAAATAAACTGTTATAGACAGATAACAGAAACCTTACCATATAAATTAATATAACCGAAATAAACTGTTATAGACAGATAACAGAAACCTTACCATATAAATTAATATAACCGAAATAAACTGTTATAGACAGATAACAGAAACCTTACCATATAAATTAATATAACCGAAATAAACTGTTATAGACAGATAACAGAAACCTTACCATATAAATTAATATAACCGAAATAAACTGTTATAGACAGATAACAGAAACCTTACCATATAAATTAATATAACCGAAATAAACTGTTATAGACAGATAACAGAAACCTTACCATATAAATTAATATAACCGAAATAAACTGTTATAGACAGATAACAGAAACCTTACCATATAAATTAATATAACCGAAATAAACTGTTATAGACAGATAACAGAAACCTTACCATATAAATTAATATAACCGAAATAAACTGTTATAGACAGATAACAGAAACCTTACCATATAAATTAATATAACCGAAATAAACTGTTATAGACAGATAACAGAAACCTTACCATATAAATTAATATAACCGAAATAAACTGTTATAGACAGATAACAGAAACCTTACCATATAAATTAATATAACCGAAATAAACTGTTATAGACAGATAACAGAAACCTTACCATATAAATTAATATTACCGAAATGAACTGTATTCACAGTGTGTGAATGAAAACAATTTCGTGACAGGCATTATTATTAAAAATGAAGGTTTGCTGTTGGATCAAATAGACCTCGAGGGTGTACGGGGATTAAGAAAATAAAGTTGACAGAAAATGAAACGCCCACGTATAAATAAAGTCGGCTGAATCCTCTGAGCTTTATGAAAGATTTTGGGAAACAAAAATAAAATATGCCACAGTTAAATTTATGGTTCTGACAATGCTGATTGGGATTCGCAGGTCGCCAGCTGACAGTCTTCAACAGTCAGTCGGCCATTCTAGTTGGTGGTCGATTGAACCGCAACGTGGGCAGAATAGAACGGCCATTTTTGGGGGTGATCGCCGGTTTGGTAGTGAACGGTGCACGAATCCTGGAGCTCGCTGCCTCGAAAGATGGCAGAGTCACTACCAGAGGGGATGTCCAACTGATGCCCGCCGGAAGTCTTCTGGATCGAGCGGCACCTCTGCAAAGAATGCAACAGGTGAGCACTCAAGCATTCAGAAGCAGTTATATTTTTACAGATCTCTGTATAGAACCGAATACTAATTAAAGCTTGATTTACCGGAAATTGTTAGGTTAGAAATAAGATCTACGGTGACATTTGTCTATCGATCTTAATCAAGAAATCATTTCCATGTTTCTTAAAATATAAATAGCCCAATTTTAATTAGACCTCTACGTTATAACTGATTACAAATTAAAGCTCGTCTTACCGGATATATTATTAGGTCAAAAATAAGAACTAGATGACATTTTTCTATCAATCTTAATCAAGATATCGTTTTCATGCCTCTTAAAATACAATTAGCCCAATTTTAATGAGATCTCTACATTATAGCTGATTGCAAGTTAAAATTCGTCTTACTGAAAATTCTGTTAGGGTAAAAATAAGAACTGCTGATATTAATCGATCTTAATGAAGAAATCATATGTGTGCATCTTAAAATACAGTCAGCCTAATTTCAACTAAAATATCATTTCTGCGCTTCTTGAAATACCATAAGGCACTGGAATAACATTGGAATCAGACTTTTTTCACTGAAATTTGAAGTGCGACATACATCTGTGCCCTGATACGCCATTTAGTGATTGGATTAGTCTCTAAATATAGGTGGCAAAAGAGTCGCAGAAATCGTTCTGAAGATGCACAGTATACGGTGTGGTTATGCAAACCCATACCGATTAGGTTAATAAAGAGAATATTATAAGAAGTATTACCAAAGGATATTATACGAATAATTATGTAGGATGTTGTGAGTGTGTGTTATATACGTGGATTATAAATGTTTGATATGGACGTTTTTCCTCGAAGCCACGCTTTTCGAAACGATATATATCTCAACTTCTCATTAATCAGTTAACTTAGGATTTATAGAGTGTCCGAATGTAGAGCATCGGAATATACAGAGCAAGGGTTGAACAGGCTGCTACAATTACGAGACGAACGCTGGTAGAGAAAACTATTAAAGTTGGAATCAGCGTGTTGAATGTTTAACACGACAGAAGGAATGGCTGCGATGCCTGCTACCTCATCCACGAACGAGGCACGGCTCTAGACGAACGTTCCACGGTGCACAATAAATCTCCATTCTTTTTCCATCGCAGACACCAGCGTCCGGTTTTCCCGGTGTCATGGACGACCTCATATTTTCTGGCGCCGGAAGCGGCTGCACCGCCGACGACGAGGACGAAGAATGCACGCCCATCTATGAACCCGGTTCCGGTAAGTGTAAGTAACATTTCCGAGGGCGTAAGTAATTCCTTCTGCACGTTTTCCTCTGAGGAAATTTCTTATTCCGCACACATCGATATTTTATGTATGTGCAAGTTCAACTTATACATATGATACTTCTCCTGCGAGAGCCACCTTTGGAATTTGAATCACTTGCACGAACGCCTTTACGAGATAGGAATTTGCTGGAGAACTGTTCGATATGTGAATATCGATCAACTCTCGACGATGCTCGTCGCAAGATCTGTTCTGCAGATGCGACGCGACCAAATAATTATTCTTGTGTTACGATACTTAAGTTGCTACATCAACGATGAGAACAAAATTATGCTCGGAAAGGTTGTAACGTTTATTGGAGCTGGATGAAATTATTTTCTGTTGGTTCTACTTTCAAGCAAAAATGTTATTCGAGTCTTGTTAACAACTCATTTGTTGGTAGTTACCGAATTCTTTTTTAAAAATCGATGATTATTAAAATTCGAAGAATTCCGAGTGTTCGATCATTTTTCAACTGCTAACCTTCGGTAATTATAGCATTAGAAAGTACTTGGATAACTTATCTCGCTATATTTTGTAACACAAAATTCGCGAAGTTATTGCCTTCGAGATTTTTAATTAACTTTTGATTTTTATTATAAAAGGAACGAAATTTCCAGTCTACTCAACGTATATGGATGTTCATGAGAAAATTAAAATGTTCTCTGACATCTGTATTTTGGTATTAAAACAAATGATTATACATGGTATTTTAATATTAGAAGTAATACAGAAGAATTGTATATTAGATCTCTGTCGTGCCCATGACTGTACTATCTATATGTATGTATATCTATATATGTCAGAAATTTTTTGCATTGGACAAATCAATTTGGAAAGTACACAGTTTGATAGATTATGTAATTGTCAGTAAAAAATGTCTTTGCTGTTTTTTAATAAAATTGGTAGTTTTTGAGTTATTCAAGAAAATGTACTTTCTCGCTAGTACTCGCACACCGAGTTGTTCGTATATAAGCCGGCTGCGGGCGACCGTTCCTTGTGTAATATGAAAGGAGAGATGTTTAGCACTCCCCTAGACAAGGATGGAAACACATAACTGGTAAGGCACTGTCGCTCTTTAGCGGCTCTTACCACAATTTTTTTTTATTATTTAACTGCAAAAGTGAAGGTATTAAAGTTGAAATAATTGAATAAAATAATTATAATAATTATATTACGTAATATTACGTAAAATCAATAAACAGCGTGATAAGACGCTATTGATCTTTGGCAACATTTTTTTTTATTGCGAAAATGAAGCTATTATACCTGTAATAATTATTATTACGATATTAATGAAGAAATATATAATATTAAATTAATAAATTGAGAAGCTAAATACTGAAATGTAATACAATTTAAATTAGAAACAAGGTTTCTGCTGCAAATATATATATTCAAATATAAGAAATGAAATTTAAAACTTCGATTGCTATATATTTTATTGTTGCATTTATTACTATATTAGCCGCAGTCCAATAAAATATGAAAATCTGCGATCAGTTTTTACAAAAATAATTACTACCGAATATAATTTTATAGCCTGCAATAATGATTATTAAAATATCGTTTATTTACTGTGTTAAAATATTGTTCCATTAATTAATTTACGAAATGGTTCGGTTTTTCTCAAATCATAATGACAGAAAATATTTCATAACGATTCGAAATAAAACGAGTCAACGATGGAACGTTTATTAAATCCATTACGTCAACCTTGTTACCATCTTCTCCGAGCAATTATTATTAATCGATCAGCTTTGCAGTAAATTATGCCCATATTCGAAACGTTAAAATATTTTCATTCCCGAAGTTGTGGAATCTCATTATTTGCATTATTAAGAGCAACGTGAAATCTGTTCGTAATTACATAAACAAACACACCCAGTTAATCATCCATGATGAGTTTTCCTCGTTAAAAGAGGCGGGAATTAATAAAGTGCAAATTATTATTTAGCTGAGGTTAAATGCAACGAATACCATTATAAATAAACTAATAGCGGAACGTTATGAAACATGAAATTGTTACATATTAGATAATTCTAGTTTGAACAGTCATTATTTGCACGTCAGTTAAATAATTTGCATAATTACATACATATAATGCGGGGAATGCCTTCAAATATCTTTCGGTAATAAAATCAGAGGAAACAATGAACTTTCACACCAACCTGTAAGGGATGATTTTCCCCCAAAAGATCGTAAAATAGCAGAAAGAATTACTTAACATCACACCATTGAGGTTTTTAATCATTTTAAATAGTTTTAGAAATATCACACATTTTTAGGCTCCTCCCCCATCAACCCCTATACCATTAACAAAACCTAAAGCCCTATCATTTATCACAATCTTCATTCCTCTAATATAATAAAAACAAACCGTAGAAAATTTCCGGACGAATTCTCTCGCAGCAAACAAAATCGTTAAATACTAAAGAGTGTAATTGACACACTTTTCCAAAATCTCAATTACCGTACAAAGGTATTCCACGGAATTGAAGTGATTCGGCTAATGGAATTGAGGGTGGAAAATTGAAATTCGTCATGGCGATGAATTATTTGAGTGATCCGTGTCCGTGAAAATCTCAATAAAAATAAATTCGTTCGTTTGGTATGAAAATTCTTCTAATCTTTAGGCACGTTCGAACTTCTCATTTCACGCAAAAGACGATCGTCTCGCCCTAATCGATAATCGCCGAATGGCGTCGGAACACAGGGGAGGAAATCCACATGGTCGGGCGCACACACGCATGATCGGGCTCGCATATCGCATGGCATGCCACCTTTTCGTCTTCATGCTTGCCCGGTTGTATCTTCGATTCATTTGCATATTTAGAATCCGTTGGCCGGCGCCCCTCCTTTCTCTCGACCTCCTCGCATAATCTGACGGCCGGTTCGAAAATCTTCTCCGGCTGGCTAAAAACTGAATTAATGCCGTCGCTTTAATAACACGGACGCGCCATGGTTATCGTCGCCGCCCACAGAAAGCGTCGTCGTCGCTTTGCCGCCGGTTATTTTCGACGCGCGGCACTCCGGCGACGAAAATACATCGTCCTCGCTTGAAATCATCGCGGCAACGCGTAAACAACAAACTGCCGGGACGTTTGTGCACTTTTCAAGCAAACTCTGCAAAATGCTACAACTCGACGCATAATATGCACACGTTGATCTCTATGGAATTAGTCGTCAATTTTTCATTAGAAATCAACGTTGCCGCGAAGCAAATCTAACGAATAAAGCTGCGGCTCTTTTTTCGTAGAATAATAATTTTCTAAGTCGACTGCAAGCCGCAGGTATTAAACAAAAATATATAACAATGTTTATCAATTATTTTAACCCTTTGCGCTCGAAGCCATTTTAACCGTAAATCTAAATTAATTTTTCCGATTTATGGTATTTCCATTTCATGTGACAAAGTGCATTTTGTGCATATGAAATCGAATCTTGTGACTCGTGCAACAGTTAGACTTTTAACAACTTTTACATCTAAACTTTGATGATATAAAAATTATCTTGGAACGTGATGTAACAATTTTTTTTTTTTTTTTAGTGGTGCCTCAGAGTCACCACTCGAGTGCAAAAAGTGCAGTTTTAGTAACGAAATGACAAATGTTTATAGCCCTTTTAAATCTTAACGTTCTTGCAATAAATCAAGATTTTGATCAAATTCTGCGCATCGCGCGCGCCATTATTGACATAATTGTCTTTATTGAGAACGAAGAATAGAAACTAAAAAAATGTTTGCATAAAAACGTAGTCGAATCTTTTCATTCTCGAGAACAAAAAACATCTCGGAATTAATTAAGTAACAAAGTCTTCGTGAATCTTCACCGACACAGCGACTAATAAATCCGTTGTTTCGCGAACAATGACTTTATTTGCTCGTGAGGTTTAATTATTCGCAGTCCAATTAACAATTTAAACAAAAATAAACTCTAATACGCTCGACGTTTATTTGTCAACGTTCGGAATGCGCGAGCTCGGCAGAAATTGAAGCTCCGAATTGGAAAACAAATTGTGTTTGTTGTAACCTTGTTTTGCTGGACAGTTTCTAATTTCGTTTCCGCTTCGATTGTTTCTCGGCAATTTTTTCTCTTATTTCACGGAAATATTGCGCCCGGTTTTCGAACGTATTTTTTCAGGTATACGCGACGCGCACACTTTTCGCAGCTATTATAACTCGACTATCCGTGGATCGAACACGTTCGGGTACTGCGATATTACAAACATTTTCGAGCGTAATTACGTTAAGCGGCATTAGTCCGTCGCGTGCGAAGTGATTTGCACACAGGATTTGTTAAGATTCGCGCGAGAAGGTGTTCAACTCCGTAAGGATAATGGCGACCGTAGCTATTCGCCGCTTTGTAATAAAGTACGGTCGCGAAACTGTTAAGATAGCGAGTTTAATTGTCCGTAATCACGCATGACTCGAGTACGAGAATCGGCGGAATTTAATGACCGCGGGTCTCTCGAAAGCGTTGTTTCGTGCACGAGAACATTGATGGATCGTTGTTTGTACATTTCGGACTTGTGCCGTTGCATTTTTGATGTTCGTCTGTATATTCGAAGGTTTCTCGCGGAGTAGTAAGTTACCAAAATTCTAACATCAGGTACTCAACACGGACCTCTAACCGCGGGCGAGCTTTTGCTTCCTCGGTATAAAATCGTGGGCCAGCTTTATTCGTTGCGCGGGTGCGTCCCAAGAATTAGATTGAGAAGGATATAAAAAGAGAGATGAGAAGAAAAATGATTTCGTTATAATATCCTGTTACATTTTTTATGAAATGTGTCTGTTGTTTTTAACTAGAAATAGTAAAGGAAACCGACTGATCATTTTTTCACTACCCCGTGATTGCAATAAGAGTTTATTGTCACTGTCGCTATTAAAATAATTTACACGTTTCGCCATTTTCATGCGCAGCATTTACCAACTGTCAACTTATCAAAAAGAGTACAACAACATATTTGCTAATAAATAACGGGACAGATGACAACTAACAATAATCAGATAAGATACTCAAGAGAGATTCAAAATCAATTAAATCGGACAATCCGTTTCCCATTGTTTCTTTTTTTTTTTTTAATCAGGTTCGACGCGATAATAGCGTGACCAGCTAAATTTTACAAAATACTTAGAACACGAATTCCACATTGCCCGCGATCAATGGGAGTTAATAAACGCTCCAAAAATTACGCAGCATCAATTATGCTCGCGATGCCCTAAAATTACAACATTTAGTCGACGTTGGTACCACTGAATCTGTATTTCGATTCGCTCCGTAAATATTATTGAATATTTCATGAACATTCGCTGCTACCGAGATAATATTTGCAACTTGTCGTAGCAGCGTATTTCAGTTGGTTTTATGAACTCAACCATTCAAACATTCGCCATACAAATTGATGTTTCATGAAGTCTGGAACAGCTATTAATACGACAACCAACGTGAAATATTTATCAGTCCCGTTTCGCGATATCCTGTAGATTTCATCTTGCGACGCCACAGTAAGAAGGAAATTAGATTCAGTGGCCTAAAATTATTTTTTCGGTGTTCTCGAGAAATTAAAATTCTTTGCCTAATAGAAAGAGGTATGTTTACCACTAATGAATACCAAAAATTGTTTTCGAAAAGCTTCTATCTTTATGCGATATAATTTTTAACTAATCTAAAAGGCCAAAACCGCTTGGATCAATTATATAAAAAAAAGCAGGATAGCATTTTTGTTTTCTTTTTCTTTTTAATAATTAAACTTTGAATCTTTCACGATGCAATGAACAAAGTATATAGAGAAATATGTATTTATATAATGTAAATGAAATATGTATTAAGAATCACCGACAGTTGTGTATATGGTATGAAATGAAAAAATCACGATGTTCACAGTTTAACTGTTAATATAGTATTATTTTCCTATTTGCCTCTGACCCGTCTACGAAGTATTATAACCGTCTGTAGCCGTTTACAAATAATATGTATAAATTTAATCGTGCTCTATCATCATGCGACGCGACCGAAAACAAGGTGTGATATTTTACCGTAGTAAATTGTTTAAAAATAAGTTTAATTGAGTTCACACGTACAGTGTTGCATTTATTTTATTAACACGGTGTGTGTGAACTCAATTAAACTTATTATTAAACAATTTAATGCAGTAAAAGCACACCTTGTTTTCGATCGCGTCGCATGGTGCTAGCACGATCAAATTTATACAAATTTATATAAAAATAGATGTTTTTGAAAAAGATTTTTGCTATTCATTAGTGGTAAACATACCTCTTTCTATTAAACAAATGATTTTACTTTTAATATATAAATGATACATAAATTCGTTACATCTCTTTATCATTTTAATTGTTCGACGCAAACGTGTAATGTTCACGATTTATTGTCAACAGTGCACCGATCGGAGGTGAATTAAACGCATTTCTGATTATTATATTTTTAGCATCGCCATACTTGGAATGAACTTTTTACCGAACGCAATACATCATCTACTGCTTGTTATTTAATAATTTGTACAAATCTGCGAAACATAGCTAAAGATTTTCCAATCCATTTACCAACAGCAACAACGGTATTCGTCGATCGATCATCGAATCGCATCGGGAAAAATCACACCTTTTAGAAGAGTACGCCACGAAAGAGTTTCTTGATGAATCGAAGACATTCGGAAGGCTATTTAACGAGTCCTTAATCGGCGCAGTATTAAATTCTTCGAAAATCCGTCTTATTCGCTGTCGGGCCTATTCGTGTTTATTAAAACCCCATAAAATCGGCGGTGCAATAACGATCAAAAGAACAATTCCAATAACAAGTGTCAAACGCAAAATGCGCTACCCGTATCAAACATCACTTCTGTTAATTATTTTACACGGCAGTATATGTCTATACACACAGAGGTACCGCAGCTACAAAGCAAAAGTCGTATTTCGTACGGTTACTACCGACACCACGTCCTCCATATTTATATGAAATATCACGCGGAAATTGAAAAGGAACGCGGCTTCATCCCTTTGATCATGTTCCACTGCAATTAAAAAAGTGCATGCTTCGGATATCCTAACGCCGAACAAGGACACGCCGCCGCCGTGGCGTGCCGGGACGCGCACCGGAACAGAATATAAAGCAGAGCCGGGTCCGCGGCGGGAGGGCTGGAAATGAGTCTTTTCATTCGCGGAACATTTGTTCGCAGCCCGACTTTAATTATAGCACGTTCGTATCGCGATATTAATTGCGCGCGTGTGTGTCGTCCACGAGGCTAACGCGCCGGACGAAGATTCGATTGCGAGCTCTCGGTACCTCTCGGCGCCTCCTGAGCCCGATAACGAAGGCACCGGACGGTCCGGATAGCCGAGCACATTACACAATGTAAAATCAGTCGGGTTAATCGTCGCGATCGAAGAAAGCGTTTTCGAAGCGGCGCGCGGCCGAAATGACCCCAACAAAAACGAAAATCAACTGAAATTGCCGGCGGAATTGAGTTCAAAGAGAAACGAAACTGGCACGAGGTATCGCGGCCGGAACAAAACGTTCCAATCAAACGTGCATTCTATCTCCATTATCGTCCGATCCCCTTTCTATCCCTGGCCTCCACACATACACACACACGCATACATGCGCGTCCCTGCCCCCGCCACCCAAAATAACCACATTTTCGTTTCGCGTTACAACGGTGACGCAAACGCCGGAAACCGCGCTATCATATGGAAATTACGCCCAGCGTTGCACGGGCGCACACGCGATTCTCAATAATCACGAGGCTCCTCGCTGTTCTCTGTCCGCAGACGACATAATCACGCCGGTGTACGTCGCATCCACGAGATCGCCGGTCACCCTGAAGCCGAAGCACCGCAAGGAGAACATCCAGGAGCGCCCAACCTGCGACGACGAGGAGGACTGCGAGGAAGGATCCGGCGAGCCGGTCACCACCGAGGAAATCTTCGTCACGTCGGTCACCGGTCCGTTTCTCTTCTTTCTATGCATCTCTGTTTCTTCACTGTCCGGTTGATTGTTTTTATTTTTTTCTGGGGGGAGGGGGGGGGGAGGGAACGGAACCCTTCTTTTTCTCGACGTTTTCCCGGGTGTTTTTCCTGCTCCCTTTTTTTTTCGCTCGCTATTAGAACGCACTCGATTTTCACGAGTGCCAACTCGCGAACACGCCACGCCTGGTATTGATCTTCCGTGCACGGTTTTCTCTCGTTCACTTCCTAGTACATGCCCGTCGTTCATGCGGGCGGAGTATTTCCAAAGACCTGCATAGTTTGCCGAGAGGAAACAGAATTCTTTGCCCGGCCGAATCGAAAGCAGTTCTGGAGACCGCGTCACCGTGTGAGATAGGTACTCTCTCTCTCTCTCTCTCTCTCTCTCTCTCTCTCTCTCTCTCTCTCTCTCTCTCTCTTTCTTTCTTTCTTTCTCTAGAGACGAGAGCGGAATTCGAAATTTGCACGAGGCGGTTGATTTTAATGGGGTAAATCGATCTCCGACTTACATTGGCGATTTTTTTCGCCGTGAAAACTTGTGGAGATTAGAATGGAAAATGATTTGCGTTAGTCTGCAGAAATGTTGGAAATTGCAATGATTGGTAGCATAAAATTACGAGGCAGTATTTGTTTGTCTTGTATATATAGCAGAAAAGAGAAGATACAAGCGATAGAATATAACCGACTTTGAAAAGTTGGTAACGAATAAATTTATAATATGGAATTGTTAGTAATCGTAGTAAGATAAATGATCGAATTACGGAGTACAGTAAATTTTTCCTAATTTTCCTTCTGCTTGTAAACGAAAATGGACAATCTGGGAAGAGGAGATACGATTATTCGAGCCTTGCGCCTCGTTTTTTATAATTGTTGACAATCGGCAACTATAAAAATGAGCCGTGAGGCTCGAATAATCGTATCTCCATTTTCAAAATTGTCCATTTTTGTTTACAAGCCGAAGGAAAATTATGAAGAATTTACTATAGTGGCAGTGTTTCTTGTACGGTGAGGACATTGATTTTTATGGGATATGAAATTTCAACGAAATAAAGTAGAAGCTTTATCATTAATCTTCGGTAATCTTAAAGGAGGATTAATCAAATTTCTATTTTGATTTCGCAACTCGTTCGAAACTAATTTTCGTACAAAGATGCAAATTCTGATAGATTTACAGAATTCGGTACGGTAGTTCGAAAATACTTGTTCCAGTAACAAGAAACATAGCGTAATCCGGCCACGTACATCTCGTTACAACTGCAATTCAAATATAGTACCATTAAATCTTCATTTCCCAAGATAAAACTAGTGAACAATTACGGAACTATCGCAGCTGTCTCATGGTCAACTGATTCATTCGATAAGAAGTGGAAAGTCGTACCGTCCGAATTGAGTTGAACTTTTCAGATTCATAAGTAATTTGTTCTTTTACATTTCCCGTTTCTCGTCGGACCATCTACGTTTGATCGCATTACCTTTCTTTCAATGCTGCACTTGAGAAACGAAAATTCATTGTTCAAAAAATGCATTAAAGCGAGGAAACATTCTAAACATATTATCGATTTTCGTATGCGAATTGCAGACATAATTTGATATCGACTTCGAAAGAAATTTTTGAGGACTTTTCTAGTGTAATGCTTGGTAGAGTAACACGTGCTAGTTGATAATTTGAAAGAGTTGCAATTTGGTAGCAAAAATGCTTGAAAAAGCATTTATACTATATTCCTGAATTTATTGTCGAACAAAAATGTGTATAATCAGATCATAATTCTTTCAATTATTATTATTATTACTAGCATCAAGAACATTCTGATCTCTTTGCAGTCAACACTATGCAAGCGGCTACAAAATTCTGTAACTTGGCTTACGAATCTAAAACAATTCCATCAGCAAGCTTCATTGGCAAATATTTTCTTTTCATCATTTTTGAGGCAGAAGTAATTATTCTTCACCTTGAAGATAATTTTGTATCTCCACAATATTAGAGTTACAAAATGCAAGTTCGTCATAGGATCTTACAAAATACAAAGTCTTGCTTTTGTCATGTTAACAATAATTTTCTATCTAAATTAATTTGTACGCTACTTCCAAACGGTGTCACCATAAAGTCTTACAGATAGTGTTCATTTCAACGCTCGTTTCGTATCTTTCACAATTTTGGACGCGCAACGATCACACTCCAGTGTTTCACAATTAACGAAAAGAATCATTTTCTGCATCAAAATGATCAAGATGCCCAGAGAAATCCCGAAAGGCTCGGAGCACCAGAACGAGCTATCTCGACCGCGCTATTACCATTCCCCGAGTGTAAAAGATTCAAAAGCACTCAGCGCCACCGAATCCCTTAAAAACTTCTAATGTCCCGACGAAAATAGATTAAGATCAATCGGCCGTCGTCAAGCGGCGACCTTTCACCCGTGCAATTTCCACGCGGACGATAACGGAGCTCGTTCGGGGAAGCGGCATCGGCCAAGCCGATTTCGCATTCCGTCAAAATCTCGAACCGGCCCTGAGTGAAATTCCAGTGTCGGGCCCGGGAAACGTTGCATTAATATTTATCGTCGCCAAGTGAAATTGCTCGAGGTGACTCGACGTCGGGCGGCGCGTGCTCTAATTGAGCCAAGATACGTTCAAAATGTGAACGCAGCCAGGAAGAGGACGAGGCCGGGGCGGGGGCGGTCGGAAGAATGCGCGAGGGCTCGTTATGGAAATACTTGGCCCGTGGGCGTCCTCTTCATCTGCATATCCCTCGAGTTCGCACGGTGAAAGCTCCGCCAATCCCGACTGCCACCGGTTAAGTTGACCATCACGAAAATAGCGCTCTACTACCCCGTTCGACGCGACGCAGATGCGACTTCTTTCAGTACGGCGTTCTTCACCGCAGAATGAAGGGTGTCTCTCCTCTCTTTCTCTCTGACCAGCCGCTTGCCCGGCCTACGTTTACCCAACGTTAAAGTGATTCCGACGTACAGAGACCACCCGGAAATACTCCCGAAGCGCTACGACGGCTTTTTCGAACCACTCCGAACCCCCGGGCTGACCTTCTCAACCTCCGTCTCGCGATTATCGGTCGACGAACCCTTTAGCTACCCCTCGCTGAGTAAGTACTTCCAACCAGTCGCGCGACTCGGCGCGCTGATAATAGAAGCTTTCGAATTTACTGCGAAACAGGACGTTGATTTTCACGACACGATAGGTATTCGTTCTGTATAGGCTATTTTTATTTTGCACCTTTTATTTTTCATTAGATTTTTATTAAATTGGCGTGGCTTTGTTCATCGTTTTTCATTTTTACTTCGATACACGTTCAATTATTGTAATTTGATATCACGTTTTCAATCTTCGGCCTGATTTTTATTCAATCAGCGTAGCGTTGTTCCTCGGCTTTTTATTTTTATTTCGGTTTTTATTAAACGAATGCAATTCGTTTCTTTCCTTTTTCTCGTTTCACTTCGATTTTCATTCAATTAACGTAGGTCGGTTTTCCTCGTTTTTCTTTTTATCTTCAGTTTGATTTTTATCCAATTACGGTAATTTGAACCCCCGTTTTCTATTTTTAGTACGATTTCTATCGAACTGGCGTGGTTATCATTGGATCCGTATATGGAATAGTCCATGAACTACTGGAAATTTCGTTTGTTCGGTTTTTATACAGTTGCCTCATGCTTTTGCTTCGATCTAACAACTTTTTCTCGTGATTTTTCTACAACGTGCTTCATTGTACCATTGTTTGTTCAGTTTTTACGGATGTTTCGTATGGAAAATTGGAAAACTCGTGAAATATTAGAAACATGTGGAGAATCTGGTTGGTTTAAACAGTGTTTGGATGGTCGAGGTTCGCGTATCGTGTGGCCTTTTGAAAGAACGAAATCGATATAATGAGGGGTGGTGTGAAAAATAGTGGCGTCGTGGAATAATTTGATGAAAGATAGAGAAAAATGGAGATTTAAGGCTCGGTTAGTGGTTTTTTTGGGGTGGGGGGGAGAGGGGCGAGAATAAATGACCAACCACCAATCATGCTGAAAAGTATTATAATTACATCAGAAATTTACATTTTTTTTACGATGTTTCATAAAAACGCGAAGCAAGAGAAAAAAGCAAACACGAGATTGTTTTTCAAATTACAATTTAACAGATTCCATCTGACATGATGAAAATTTAGTATTTCATATTATTCGATATTAAACCTGTTAGTTTAATGTATTTGATGCATTTAAATAGACTTTGGGCGTGTACGAAAGCTGATATAATAATTCACAATTTATAAATTGAAATGAAATTTGCTTACTTTATTACGTCGAGAAGATAATTAAATCCTCCGAAGTTTCGAACGCTGGTTGAACTAATTAATTTTGATCAACTAATACAGCCAATTCTATATCAATCTAATAATTGCAGACAAGTTATTGTTCCATGTGAACGAGCAACCGTGTTATTTTTGGAAACGCCAGACATTTTGATCAGCAAATACACGAACACTAATGAACTTACCGAGTCGACATACTTTAACTAGACCAACTGAGGATCGATTTTGAACGACGAGAAACGAGGTTTATGTGGTTCGACGAGTTGAGCTTTTGTGTCTTGCTTCGTGGCCTTAAAAAATGTTCCACTCTAGATTCTTAGAAACGTAACGATTACGCGTTTTCAAAATACTAATTGTTTGCTAAAAATATTCAATCAAAATATAAATCGTCATCTATCAAAATATGTACGAAGTTATCAAAATATCACCGGCACCGGCGATTAGAAGATATTAAAAATTTCATAACGTCAACCGAACCAGCCGCTTCGAATAGCAAAAACGATAAATTTCTCTTCGCGTTCCGTAAAATGTTCCTTCCTGAAATTGCTTAGTATTTATGATGGATGGTTCTATTTGTAATGCATTGAAATATTACCTGCACGTATCAAGACAGATATCCCTGAAAAGACGTATAGTTAGACGTATTGTATTTCCACGCTGTAATGTACTGTTACACGGAACGCAGTTGAGGATATTGACAAATTGATTTAAAGAAACGTATTAGGCTAGATTCCTACGAGAACGATCCTTAAATAGCTTTTATTCTTTCGCCCAACAGTGAGCCGATTAATTTTTAAAACATGTACTAAAACATGTTTAAAACAACGAAACATTCGTATAAACAGTTTGGAAATTCCATATCTTGGAAAAATATATTCTATGCATTATGGGCGCAGTGTTCTCGAGGATTAGGTTAGTCCGCGTAATTGTTGCGATTAATGGCATGATGACGTAGTAAATTCACTGGGGGTTTTAAAAGGTCTAACAATTGATATACAATCATGGCAGAAAATTGATATATCCCTCGGGTGCTGTACAAAAAATCTGCCGAAGAAATTTTATTAGTATAACAATTTTAAAAATTGTCACACACGTTCCTACTGCACAAAGACACTACACTGGGGCTGGTCCCTGTGAATTTTAATTATAAAACTAAATTCTAACGAAATTTCTGAAACCAGCAAGAAAATATTAAACGCATATTTTACATCCCAAAATTTTCCGTCAGACATTAAAATATTTTTGTTTCATCACAAGATGAATTCAAATTATTCCAAACAACGTAAGATCGAGTAAAAATTCAGATTAGTCGACTTTCACCCCCCCCCCCTCCCCCAATTGTTCCCATTCCTATGACACAATGATATTAGAAACTCTAGAGAGTTTATGAAGCGTCTCTTTCCACTCAAAAATATTTTATATCCATCATCTGAAATCTTCCCGCGAAACGAATTTAGACGATTCCAATACCACCCTAAATCGTTCACCAGAAATCATTCGAAACCGATCGTACACTGCGGCCCTTGATACGAAAGAAAAACAGTATTTCATCGATTCTATAAAAGAGGATTTCGATAAAAGCGTTCTCCTTCGATATCGTTGACAAAGTAAAAATAATGTGGCACTATTCTTAGCACCTAGATTTACTGAACATTAAAAGCAACTACTTTCTATCGCTCGACGAAGATAACAAGAACATATCTCTCCGGATTTGTACCGATCACTACAACACATGCCTGCAGAATGAAAATTGATGAAATTCTTCGTAAATGTAATTTTCACGCGAAACAAGTGTTAAAATCGTGCGTTTTCCTCGCTTCGTCTTTAATTATAACCCCATCTCTGGCACGAATCATCGAAACTAATTCGAGGAGAAGCTGCAAAATATTCAAAAGAATCGGATCGTCCGGACCATTTGAAAAACTATTGTTCAGGGGCCTGGTTGCGAGATGAATGAGGCGCGCAGATCGGTCTTGGTGACCCGGTTTCCAGGCTAGATCGACGAAAGCGTTGACGCGGACTACTGAAAAGAGAAGAACCGTCGCGAATAATAGCTTTGAGGTTGGCGAGCACAAACGCGAGAAAAGAAAGCAATTAAATGGCAGAGCGTCGCGACTGATCGTGTCGAGTCGAGTCGAGTCGCGTCGCGTCGCGTCGCGTTGCGTCGATTCTACCCCGCGTGATTAAACGTACGTCCCTGGAAGTGGCGGAACACGACTCCCTCCGGTTGTCCTCGCAACGTGGCCTGCCCACGCACGCGTGAATATCGCCGGCCTACGCACGCGTAAATATTGTCGGTAGCACGTTACTACCCCATCCCCCCGCTAGCCAATCGGATACACGTAATTGCACCAGCCGGCTGACGCTTCTCTCCATTCCATTTTCGAAGCAGATTCCAGCTCGGTGACGTACACGACAGCCCGCGAGTACACGACCAGCCACATCAGCACGCAAACGTCTCCAGGCTCACCGTCGACATCGACCCGGGATATCGTCACCGTCTCCGTCCAGTACAATGTGTCAACCACAGACCTCGAGACCAGCCACGCCAGGTGAGTTTGACATTTTCGCTTGGCCGTCCTCGCGGCGACGCCGAAATTCCCGAGCAACCGAATATATTCCTGAAGGGGGTGCATCGCACCGGGGGTGGAACCCCCTCGTGTATCCTTGAGGGCACACGCTGCCTGCCACCCTGTTGATGCGGCCTCGTTTACGCGTCCCTTTCGCGACGCGTTCCTTTTGTCGAACATGTGCTCCTTTGTTTCCACGATTTATCGACGGGTTTCGCAGGCGGGAAATTGGGCTCGTGCTTCGTTCTGCTTGATGAATTTGATAGTCTTTAGAAGGGCTAGTAGTGGTGAGAAATTGCGGATTAGAAGGTGACCACAGTGATTACTGCTTTAATCTCGATGGTTTTAAATGGTGAGAAATTTTGTTTCGAGGCTGAAAACAGAAGCGGGATTTTGTGTTTTCTTTTTCAGTGATAAGTGGGGCTAATGATATTCGGAATGGTTGGTTGTTCTGAGAATAATGGTTCTGAGATTAAAAAGTTTCATTTCGAAGATGTTTATTGTAGCAAGAAATTTCGTTTTAAGGATAAAAATGGATGCGAGGTTTTGTTTTCTTAGTGACAGGTGGGTGTCATGGGTTTCTGGACGGATGGTACTGAGAAATTGAAAGTTGGAAGCTTCGAGGATCAATTTTTGTTTTCTTGGTGACGGATGAAATTGACGACTTTTTGGAGGATTGTTACCGAAAAATTGATATTTAGACATTCACGGTGATTACCATAATTGTTTTAACTTTGAAGGTTTGTAATGGCGAATCGTTATAAGGGTGACAACAGGTGCGAAATTTTGTTCTTCTTACTAACAGATGATTTTAATGGTTTCTGGGATACTTTTTGTTTTATTGTAAAATCGAAAAGTAGGAATTAACAGTGACTTCTACTATAATTTTCGAAGCTTGGAAATTTTTGTAAAGATGAAAGCGGGGGTGAAACTATTTGTGTGCATACATGTGTGTATTAAGTTCGCGTGTGCGTGTGTGTTAGGTTAGTATTATGGCGTTGAGAGACATATTGAGCACGGGAAGTTGACAGTGATTTTTGTCACGAGGCAGAAGAAAAAGGCGAAACGACATTTTATAGTTATTGAAATGATAGAAAGTTTTTATTAACGAAATGATTTTGTTTTTATAATGATGATAAATTTTAATTTGTAGCTGTTTCTGCTACAGAATGATAGTGACTCGCTTTAAAAGTATTTAGATTTTTGGAGAATTTATGCGTCTGTCTGCTAAATAAAGCTTTAATAATTACATGGATATATCGTTTGTTTTTTACAATTTCGTGGATTAAAACTCGTATTCGAATATTTGCTCGTTGTTTTGAGACAGTGATTTATATTCTCCTTAGCCTGCGTCGCATATGTGCTAAAATTAATAATAGATTATACACGTGTTTGGAGGATGTGGTTAACCGAACTGTGATTAAGCAGTCAGATTGGTTTTGGTGGTTTGATTAGTTCGGATTCAGCCAGAAAATTCAGGATCGCCAGCTGATCGAAACCTGGTTTACATTTCTGCAATATATTTTCTGTAACGTATCGCGTTAATCGTAAATTTCATGTCAAACGTATTAAAATCACGCTTTGTGTAATCAATATTCCAAACGTTCGACTTTAATGTGAAACGCCAGGTGTAACAAACCAGTGTCGAACAGGAAAATTTTCGAAAATTTGAATTTCGATATAAACTTAGCAACGAAGACGTTCTAAATATTTCAGTTATGCCATCAGGAGAATAACAAATTTATTGAACCGTCAGCTATTTTCAGGACATGGTATAAGCACTCTGAAGTGAGACCTATTTTCGTTTGGAAGGAATGATCGATGACCTGATTCGTACAGCAGTGACAATTTTCCGTAATTATAAATGAACAAACAGTTGTTCTCGGGAAATTCCAAGAACTTCACAAATAGTTGACATAAAAATTGTAACTACATCGCTCGTTGGTAAACCGTGGATAAAGATACATAAATCATAGAATAAGAAAGTCCTGGCGCTGCATTGCCTTAAATTTACATCCCATCGGAACTGCTACAATCCACTCTATCATTCTCCATTGGTTCCTATAATCCCCCATCGATTTCCATCATCCCCTACTGCATCACGTAAAAATTGAAAATCTATTTCCAATTGAAAAACAATAGAAAACGTGGAACCATGAATAAGAAAGATCCTGTAGACGTGCCTCCCTAAAGTTACATCAGGATCGCGATCGTCCATGCTCGCCATACTACATCAGTTCCCATCATCCCCTATATTCTAAACAATTAAGAGTCTGTTGAGAATCGAAAAGCGATAGAAAATATACAATTAAAAATAAAACGATCCTGCATAAGTACTTCCCTAAAATTACATTTCATTAGAATCACCATCGTTCACCTTTATCGTACTACATCAGTTTCCATCATTCTCCATATTGTACAAACTTGGACATTTGTCGCGAATTGAAAGGCGATAAAAAAGACATAAAATCAACAGTCAGAATCAAAACTCTAGAAGTGTTTCTTTAAAGCTACATCTCGCCAGAATCGGTTCCCATCGTCTCTCATACTATAAGAAATTCAGGTCCGTTGCCAATTGAAAAACAATAGAAGATATCGAATCGCGAGCAAGATGATGCTCCCGAAATGCACCCTTAGACAGAGACCAGCCATCAGAATCGTAACAAAATCCACCCTCGTCGTCTCCCATCACCCCTTCCGTCATCGAAGAGCTCGGTTATCGACCGTAAAAGATCTGAAAGCACCAACAAAAGATCCTTTTAGAAGTACCTTCCTAGATTCGATCGCAACAATCCGCCGCCCAACATGTCCGTATCACATTCTCTACGCCCGTAATCTCATGTGTCACACGTGTCCAGATACTAACAGACGACGTTGAACTGATTGCAGTAGCGTCGTGACGCCTAGATCGACGACTGTGACGACCCAAACGACCACCACGGAGATGACGGACCCGCCGCCACCGCCTCCGCCCCCGGTCTACCCTCCGGTGCCTACACCGCCGAAGAACAACAACAACAAGAGGATAACGAGCGAGACGGAGGAGAACGCGGCGCTGATAATCGGCATCATAGCCGCGGCGCTGATCGCGATCATCCTGATCATCCTGCTCATCCTGAAATTCAAGAGCCGTCCGGAGACCAGTTACAAGGTCGACGAGACGAAGACCTTCTGCCAGGACCCGAACGCCGCGCTGCTGGGCGCGGCCGGGTCCGGCCAGCCGTTCAACGGCTCCCTGAAGAACGGGGCGAACTGCAGCAAAACCAACAAGAAACGCGAACTGATAGACATCAAAGAGTGGTACGTGTAGAGACGGCCGTGGTCCTCGAGAGCCACGTGCTTCGATATGGTGCCAGGTGTCCACGTGTGCGTTTGAACAAGCTACCGAACGAGTGAGCCTCCCCTAGATTCTTCGTTGGTGCTACGGTGAACAAGAGAGACTGGTCCCGGGAAGCGGCTTCCGGCAGAAAAAAAAGAAAAAGCAGAACGGCGTGTTCCTTGCTTCCGGGGTGAGACCAACCGGTGTAACAGTGATCGATAACTCGTGAAAACTCGTTCGGGAATCGGCGAATGCCTCGATGGGACTGACAGGGTTCACTCGTCGTCGCGGCTCAATCGATGTATTTCGCGAGGCCACCGAACAGGTAAACATATCCGAGTGCACATCGCGTCGACGATGAACCCGATCGGAACCGGACAAGGATCCAACGCGATCGACGATGTGCTAAGCATCCGATCCGCACAGAAGCCAAGACTGATGTCGCGCCGACGGTAGGCTAAACACTGATTAGCGTCGAGGCTGACGATTTGTTAACCGTTCGAAGATTGCGCCGAAGGTCGAGCCGAAGGTCGAGCCCGAAAGTCGGTCGAAGGTGGCGCCGATCAGAGAGAGAGAACCGGTCCGAGCGCCGGCGGAGGTAGTGCATTTCGTTATCAATTCGTTAGGGCGATGCTCGAACTAATTCCCAGCATTCCTCGCGGGCGCGGACGAGCATACGGCCGCCGTTGGGAGCCTTGGAATACGGCTCGCGCGCTCCTCCGCAAATCAAACTTCTTCCTTGTTGCTATATTGTTAGTTGTGTATTATATTTATTGTATATGAAAGATTTATTGTGTACCATAGAACGTTCGCGTGCATGATCCTTCCTTTAGACCACGCCGTTGCCGAAACGGAGAACCGTTTCCGGCGGTATGCCACGGCGAGAAACGATGAAATCCTGGCTGAATGCCGAGAGGGGGTTAAACACGTTCGTTAAAAATTATAAAATATTTATTCGTGTAATGTAATAATTGGTTCTACGTGTTTATTAGGTCGTTAAGTGTGAAATGTCCGATTCGAGATGAAAATTTGGTTCATCATATCTCGGGCAAGAAGTAATATAATTAATCAAAATATGCGCCTGAACTATCAATCCCTTCCCAATGCAAAAAAGAAGAAACAAAGGACGATCGAAATGAAATATCGGAAACTTGATGCTTTAGGTAATCGGACATTTCGTGCTTAATGACCTAATACATACTGATACTTTTTTTAAGTCGAAGTATGTACATGGTTTTCTCTACAAGCCCCCCGAATCCTGCAATGGCATTAAGGGCTCTCTTACGAGCTCCCAAACAAAATCTTCGGTTCTCCATTGCGTGACAATTGGACACGTAAACTGTCACCTTCTACGTGAATTGATATCCTCCAGGATTTAAGTAAAAAAAAAAGATGAACTCGTCACTTGAACTAGTTACTTCCGATACAAAGTTTGGTCCGTTTCGAACCAAAGTTGTAAACGTGATATCGAACGAAATTATATTAGACTACGGATTCTATGCAATTTGTCGCAAGAATTAATAGATGAAACACGAAGCAAGTCCGTAGTCTAATTAGGAGCTATTTGCATTCGGTTCAGTAAGAAGATCTTTACGTTGATCTCGAAAAAACGAGTTCGTAAACATGGAAAAAAATAATTGACGTGTAAACAGCTTGATGGATTTAGCTACGAGTACGCCGACTCGTCGAATGTCAATATTACGTTTTATCGGTCCAACTGTGTAATGCGATCGTTAACTGACGCGACACAAACTTATTCTCGCGTTTACGAATCGTGCACAGTGGACACCTTTGGACCGACAAGGTTCAACTCCGTGATCAACAAAGTACCCCGATTTCGACGATTGAAAACTACTGTGTCATCTTCTCGAGAACTCTTTCCGAAAATCTTGCCAATTCGATTGAAAATTAGAAATGCGTATTTCGGCTAGGATTCCGCGGATTCTCGCAACGGCGGTGCGTCTGCGGAGATAGAGGGCCGCGTTGTCGCGCCGTATTTCAAGGGTTGGACACGCTTCCGGTCGAAGGATCTTTCGTAGTTCAGTATACAATGTAGGCGAACGGGGGAGAAAGTGTTGGGATGAACGGAGCGCAGGAACGAAAGTATCGATGCGAACGATCCTATCTAGCGATTAACGAACTTATTGTTGTATAGAGAAAGAAAAAAGGAAAAAAGTATACACGCATGTGCGCGTACGTGCATGCACGTGGCAAGCGCGCGAGGCGAATCGACACGTGTATGGACGCGCGTGTACGCAGATATGACATTTATCGATTATGTTATACGTGTAAATTGTTTATGAAATTATATAGATTTTATTAACGAGAAAGAGCGTGGAGAGCGCGTTTCAGTGTACGTGTGTGCGTGGTTGTGTGCGTGTACCGTGTATATGGGCCCCGCGTTCCGCAACGCGAGGAGTCGCGACAGCGAGACGCGACGATTGGCGAACAATGCCAAAGCTAATTTAACGCGAGAGATAATTAACGCAGTAGGTTCTAAGTGACTCGGAGGACACTGTCGAGTGATCGACAACACGGCCATTGCGCAGGGACGCTTCTACGAAAGCACAGAATGCGAACACAGTATTTGCCAAACAAGGAAAACGAACCGTTTGACCGGTGCTTAACCCTTTGACGTCCATTTTCACCATTTCATTTTCAACATGCTCGTGCGGATCTCGCGCGTTCCGACCATTCGAACTCCGACGATGTTCCTCGACGACACTCGTATTTCTAAATCTCGACATTTCTTCACGCCATGTCTGTTCCCGCGGCTTCGCGAACCGAAAGCGAGTAATCGGGATCTTGTCGCTGAAAAGGAGGGCTCCAAAGGGTTAATTATATCCGCCGACGGCATAGATGGCTGATTTTGCTTTGTCGCATCCAGACTCGCTGATCCCTCGGAAGCTTTCTGCCAATCTTCGATTCAAGAAGCGATCGTTGTCCTGCTCATCGTGCCACGTTGATTCTGTCGATTCTGCAGCGGGTTTGTTGCTTTTTAAAACTAGTGCTAGCTTTTCGGCGCGTACCTGTGTCGGTTAGAACATTAGTCGGCTCATGTTTCATCCTTGAATGGATTATCGACGAACTTCCATCCTGTAACGAAACTTCCAACGCTTCGGTAACCGAGAACAGTGTTAGCCGCGTCGGTGTGTAAGGAAATCGGGAACACCGATGTACTATTTCGAGGGGAATTATGCTTCACTTGATCCTCGACTCACCGAGAAGTTCGTCTTGGAAATGAGGAGCGTATTTGCGCCAGCGAGGATAGGAGACATGAATCAGGAGAGTATAATAATCGTGATTGAGCATGATTAATGGGGCTCTACGTAGCATAACATTATACAGACTATGAGATTATATTAAAATATATTCGTAGACTGTGGATCGTATTTCTGACAAAGCGGGTACCTCGAATGCAAAGCTTTTCAGATTTCCATCTCGTTTTAGTGAAAGTAAATGCATTCAAAAAATAATCTAGAACACCGTTATTTCGAACGTATTGAAATTATTCTGCGGACAATTCTTAATTTGGCATAAATATCCACAGTCTATAATTTTAGTTCCAACGAAATGACATATAGTGGTGGATCATTTAAAAGTGTCAGGTTACTTGTACTAAAAAGCTCTTGTTGCGGTATTTCTTCGTTAAAATAGATGAAAGTTTTAATGTCCCGATACAAATTTCGCAAGGAGGAAATAATTTGACAAATAGCGGGCAATTAGGCAAGTAATAATAAGTAAATATTGTCGATTATCCAGTAAAATAGTTGGTTTATCTAATAAAAATTAGGGAAATCGATCTAACAGTGATCAAGGTAACGCAAAATGCTAGCACTAGCCGAAGCCTCAACTTTTTTTTTCGTACAGTTTCAGCCGCGTCATTGTAATTATCATTGCGCGAAAGATTCCTGGAATTATTTGAGTCCTCATGGAACATTTGTTGAAGGGGCCGACTCGTCAAAGAACTATTTTCCACGAGCGAAACGTTTTCGAGCTCTCGACGCGTATTCCTAGAACGATTAACTCGTTGGAGCGGCGAAACTCCGTGCTCGCGAAAGAGAGAAAGAGAAAAAGAAAGGGAGAAGGAGAGAGAGAGAGAGAGAGTGAAAGAATGTGGAAATGATGGTCGAGGGAACCATTACCTCGAAAGACAAGAAGAAAAACGTCCGATTGTTGAAAGCTTTTTAATACTTAGCAAAATGCTTGGCGCGTAGAGAACCTGCAGTCGGTGCGCCATTTTCTTTGAAACCGGCGTTCCTCGAACCTGGAAAACTTAAAACAGGGAATATTTCGTGCCGAGTTGGAATCAGCCGTTGTGAATCCCTTCGGGAATATCTTCTCGAGAAAGGAAAATTAGATTTTATTCGAACGAACTGAATAGTATGTCTCGATTTGTTATTTAAGGCATAATTAATATTGGTAAGGAACGTTTGCGGTAAAATATTCTGCACTTAATTAACGATATAATTAACTCCCGACGAAGCACGGAATCTAAAAAGTTAAAAGTATTTAGGATTCTAGAATTGCTATAAAGCACAAAGCTTGTAATAAGATACGGATGTATAAACATCAAAGACAAAATACTAAAAAGAATTTATGCAAGTTGTATCGATCTATAAGCGCTTACACGTTTGAGAAAATGAGTAAAACGTTTTATATTGTTTTTATTAGTTGATAGGGATACACGTGAAACACGTAAGCGGAGTGTTTTAATTATAACGTGCGTGTTCCTCGAAAGGGAAAAGGAAATGCAAAAATGGGGAAAACGAATTGAATTTATAGGATAATATAAAAAATAACAACACGCGTTCACTTTTATCAAAATTAATAATTCCACGCTGGTGTTTCGTTGACACAAGAATTTCAAAATATGTACTTACACTGCCGTTCAGAGACATACTCAAAGCACTACGCAAACTGCACAAAACTTACTTTTTAAAGACCATTTACGATTGTAACTTTCATGGCAACTTATAACTTTAACGGATTTCTCTTTAATATATGATATTTTTAAAAAGACAAAATAAACAAAAAAAAGATAACGAAGATACCATATTTGTTTAGGAAACGAGGAGCACTGTGAATTTTTCTGCGACAGTGTTCGTTCGATTCAATTTTCCCTCTAAACTAATTCAATTAAAGGTTGCATCTTAAATGACTTTAATCGAGACCTCTTCGTCGATGTGGAAAAAGGTTCCTGGAATTTCATTGTTATGCAAAAATGAACTATTGCTATTCGTACTCTGTATTTATTCCGAAGAATATGTAAAGAAACCAAAACGAGCGCGGCTTTGTTGCTCTCGCTCTCAACGGGGTAAGAAGAGAAATATACCCCTTGGGGAAAACCGTGCTCACGTTTCCACATAGAAACTCTATTTCGAGAGAAATGCAACTAAAATAGCAATATTATCATTCGGTTATGTATGACTACAAACTTCCAGGGGACTCGTAAGTCTACCCTGCATAATTTATAAGGGAACATTATTATTTCCGGCTTTTTTCTGGTAAAAACTCCAAGATATCGGAAGGTTCGAGGAACACCGATCGAAGCGTAAGTTCTCGGTTGACGGCGCTCTCGAAGCAACTTTAAGACTTCGACTGCGATTCCCCCATCCGATTTACTTCCCCCTTATTAATTCCGGAAAGCCTAGCTCTCGCTGACGAGTGTGCTCGTTAGGGTCGTTATCGTCACAATGCCGCGTTCCGGCATAGAAACGTGCCTCCCCGCCACTCCCCGTAGGTGTCTCGTTACGACGATCGACTTCTTCCCCCCTTTCTTCAATTAGCATTTAAAACGTCCATCCTCCCCGGCCCTCGCCGAGCAATATAATTGGCTGCGACCGAACGCGGATGTTTAACCCTTTGGAGCGGCGCGGAGCCGCTGTTTTCTTATTTTTAACGAGACGATCTTTATCATTGTTCACGACCGGCTCCGAGCTCCAGGCTGAAACCGATATTTCGATCATTAGTCCGACGTGTACGATTCTCGTTAATTCTAGGACAACGATCAATTACACTTCGTTTGTAGTGTACACGTTAAAGAAGCGCGTCTTGTAACAGAAACGAAAAAGAGATCGAAAGTTTCTAAGAAAAGAATTGTGGGTGAAATTTTCCACCCGGAGGAGAACGGAACGTATAACTGTTAAAAAGATATAATCAAATTTCGTTGATCGTAAGTAGACTGCGGATCATATATCGTGCAAAATAAAGACTGTCTGCAATCTTTGCGAAAGACAGTTTCGTTGTTCTTCAACGATTTTAGTAGATTTTTTTATTATTTTTTATTTTATTTCTTTCATAAATGCACGAAATCCACAGTCTAGCCGTGAGCTTGATTTTCTTTTTGTATGAAACTTTTTCCCATTCGATGTCCTGATTGTAACGTAACGATTAGTGCTTCGTGAAACGATGATTATGGGATGGAGGATTACCAGGGCAGACAGGCCATCGAAACGACAGATTTTCGAATCGACAGACGAGCCACGGAATGTGTTTTGAGAAAAAGAGTCTTATCCAAGGTGCGAACGTGGTCTTCGACAGGTGACAATGCCGGGGTACTGGCTCTCAGGGAAGCACAATTATACCGCGATTCAACTCCAAAGAACACAATCTAACCGATCACAGCCCCAAACTAACGCATATCAGAGAACGATTCCAGGTGATCTGCGACCGAACCGAATCCACAGAACGTCGCGTCGCGCGGACCGATGACGGTATTTTTAAAGTTTATCCGAATCAACGTTGATTTTCGTCTGCTTCTCGACACTCGAATGCTCTCGCATCCTGTTACTATAAATACTACCGGTCGAACCGATAAGGGATATCATTTCAGTGACGCTTGCTCGTGTACAAAACTTCTTGAAACGCGACAAACACACAGATACACAGGCATATACACACATATGCTTACAGCCTTTTTTCTCTGCTACTTCTCTAAAAAAAAAGAAAAAAACGACGGGTAAAAGAAACAGAGAACCGAGACGCAAAAGATAGAGAGTAGTAAGAAAAATCTCGAAACTCTTTTATATCTTCTATCGCACAAGAGCTTGACGGATCCACGTGCAGCACGACCTTCACCGATAAAAGCAAGAGCCGCAAACAGCAATGGCTTCTCACTGGCCGCTTTCTTCGACTTTCCTTTTCTTCTTTCTCGATCGTCGATCGATTTCGTTCCGAAAAAGAAACCGATAGCGATCAAGCTTTTCATACACACACGTAAACACACAAACATACACGCGCGAGCGCGCGCACACAGAAAGACATATACACGACGCGCTTTGAATGGCACAATGAACTCTTCGAAAACTCTCTCGACTTCGCCGGGACTTGCAAATCTTCACCTTCGAGATCATTCGTAGGCTATAAAACGATAAGTCGATGTGGATTTTGTAATATTTACGTGGCTACAGTTGAGTGGGCAGTCTTAACGATATCATCGACGACCGACGACGCAATATCGACGATCCATGCCCGAGAACAGGCCCGTCGGAGGATCGACGGATAGATCCTCGATCGCGGTAGCGCCGCGTGTCTTCTCTCGGACAGCATTTGCGCGACTGCGATCCGAAAACTATCGACTATCGACGAAACGACGTAACCGAATTCAATGAGACGCATCGTCCACATACCGCGAAATTGAACAAGAAACCCGGTATTTTCGTATTAACAATCGGAACGTTTCGCGAACCTTTTTGATGCATTTAAACTCTTTGTATTAAGTCCAACGTGATCGTTTGCATCCCTCCGTGTATAAACCGTGTGTGTAAAGCTAATCCGACTATGGGAACAGTTAATTGATGAAACATCCAACGATTTCGCTTCGTTCTTCGAGCCGATGCGACTTTGACTTCTACCATTTCATTTCCGAGCGACCCTCGCGCGTCGAGGCGAGAAGGGTCGGTCATGAATTTCAGGGGATTAACGAACAATTCTCATTAATACGAAAATACTAAACTAAAGATATCAACACAAGGAAAGTATGAAATTCTTTTTGAGTCGTGTACAACCTCTACAACTCTTGTCCCCCTTCTTTCTTAAGGAAACGGATTTTCTCCATTTCCAACTCAGCCGTTATGTGCCATGGAGATGGCTGCCGATCGCCATACGTGTTTGCCACCCCTCGAGAAACGCAAACGGGCCGTTTCGCGCCGAAACGGATCACTTTCTCGACGATATGTTCGCGGTATTTTCGCGAGATACGTTCGACAAGTTCGCGCAGAAATCAAAGGAGGCTCGGATATTTAGCCGTCTCAAGGAAAGCCTGGGCGTTTCATTTTCATCAGCTCTTTTTCGTCCGGGAATCGCAAAAGAATGTCTTCGACCGGAGCCTCTAATCAAAAGAAATCTTTGAGAATTACGAGCGAATTTAGGGATTCGATTTAAACGACGCATCGAGAATCAATCAAAGCTGAACGAAGCGCCGGGAGATCTCGTCCCGAAAGTGATCTGCTGACGCACAATTGCCCGAGCATATATTGTTATCACTGCCCTCTAAACTCTCTATCTGCATATCCTTCGATGTACTGACGACTAATGTTTATACTAAACTAGTTAACTTCTAATAAGATATCTTACCGAATGCAAAATGTTACTCTAATTAAACTTAAACGCATTAAACCTTGAAGTTAAGTGTGTCACGGGTAGGATCATACCTAAGCATAACTATTAATGCGTAGTGCGGCAACCAAAGAAGAGCGTAAACGAAGAACTAACGAAAGGAAGGGAGAGCGAGGGAGGGAGAGAGTGGAGCTGATTAGACGAGTGAGCGAGCGAGCGAGCGAGAGAGAGAGAGAAAGAGAGAGAGAGAGAGAATGACTGAATGGTAAGAGTGGTCGTGTATTTATAAGTGTATGCGCATAATGCAGAAGTAAACGTGGGAAAGAGAAGTGAGGAGGTGGAGGAGAAGGCGAGAGACCGTGTGTGCGACGAGCATTGTGAACCGGAAAGTCGTTAGATGCTAGGCAGACACCGAAAACAGAAAAGAATAAAAAAATAAGCTCACACAACTGTATCTAGAGTCGCTATAGCTAGATGGAATTATATTTTACATTGTACAGTCTATACGTATGGGTGCACTATATGAACCTAGATAGTGAAAAATATGAAGACGCAAACGGAAATACGCGTGAAACGTTACTGACGACGCTCCGAGCTCGATAAATATTTGCTGAACTCTAGGATCGACGGCAATCGCAAATATTTTTCTTGTTCGCTACGCTGATCGACGACTTTTTTTACACGTGCGCACGTGCACACTGGCTCGCGTGTGCGTGCGCGCGTGTCGAATGTCGAGCGTTCGAATGTCGTTTCGATTCAATTCGCGCAGGAAACGATGTATAATACACAGAATGTTCGCCGTCGCCGTTCCAAAAGGTCTATCTTGTAAATGTGAATGGCGTTAAACGAAGAGTTGAATTATCCTTGTTTTCTTTTTTGTCCGAATGTTCGGACATTTTTTCGTTTCGCCGTTTTTTCATTTCCATATCTCAGAAAATAAAGCGTCGAGTGTGAGGAAGGAACAATTCTCACTGTAGCTTGTCTTCCCAAAGAAAATGTCTGTATCAGCGACAATTATTTCGAGCACGGGAACGTGCCCGTTCAAAAACAAGGTTTGCTTCTTTTTATTAAATATTTGTGATAGCTCGTCTCCAGTTCCTAGATAATAATTCATACATTTATTGTAGGAATAGGATGAATAAATTTCTGGTTTGCAAGTGTAGTTCACTAAATGATTCTTGTCGCTGACTGCAACCGCGTGTACTTCCTGCATTGAGGCTTGTTCGAGTTCAAAAATACGCACTGCTCATTTACAAGAGAACGATTGGTAGAAGATAACGATAATTTGAACATCCTGTGTATATTTATTCGTACACAGAGTTGGGCACGGTTTAATGACTTGGCGACTGCAATTGACATATTTGATCAGCAATTGCGATTAAGTTTACACATTAAGTTTTCCTCGAAGCCTCGATTAATGCTAAACCTACCGAATATTGAACGATAACCGACACGTGTTGCCGTATAAAAATTACAGAATTGAGTTGATTTCGATTTTGTACAATTTTGAATCAAGCACCGTAAAATACGTGTGGGTTTAGTGTTGAATAGAATTTCAACTGGAAATGTCAATACAAAAATCAACAACCGAATTCGCCAATTGATTAAATCGGTCTCCGATTTGTCGACGATCGAACGATCGACTGCGATTAAACTTTTAAATCATGAGCATCGTTCTGTCGCTCGAAAATTCGTATCGTTCAATGCCCAACTCTGTGTTCTACCTATACACGGACACATGCATTCTCTAAGGTTGAGAGTTGAGAGAGGCGCGTCGAGCTAATCGCTCGGCGCCGCTCGAGTCAGATGTCTCGTTTCACGGAAAGTCGGCCCGACTGCGAGCGCAGTATAATTACGAGCGTAGCGTACGATGGTGCGTATAGATTTTTTACACGTCATGGCGACGCCTCTTGTGCCGTTCCGTTAGAATTTTCCGGTTTTTACCGCGCGAATTTACGACGCCGCACGATCCCACGCAATCCGCAAAGTATTTCTTTCGGTAATGATTTACGAAAAGATCCTCCTCTCCGATTTCAATGACATCTGATTATGTTGCACAGCTTAGCATTTTCAACAACTTTTTCCTCCGTGAAAATTATTGCTCTGCCATCAGTTTCCGTGATATTCGTGAAAAACTGGAGACCAGATTTTCGGGGCATTTTGAAAACCGATTTCGAAAACTGTATATTTACAAACGTTATAAGCGCAGATCAGTTCTGGCTTATAGCTCTTCGTTGCTTATTTTAAAAAGCTCTCATGTTATAGAGATTGTTTACCGGTCCCCGTGCCGTGATCACGAAAACAGTAAATAAACGACCATACAGCATGATATTATAAAAAGGAAAGAGTTTTTCGAAATGTCGAGAAGTATAATATAAAGTATAATATAGTTTCACCAAAATCAGAAAGGAGGAGCCTTTTGTAATTAATTACCTTTCTTTTTATTTCGCGCAGCGACGTAAACGTGTCTCACAGGAGACAGAGTGAAAAGGGCGAGAGTAAACAGTGTGTCGTATATTTAAGGGGCAAAAGAAGAGAGAAAGAGCGCGAGAGAAAAAGAGAGAGAAAGAGAGAGAAAGTTAAGAAAAACGAAGCACGACGAGGATACCTTTTACAACTTAAATCAAAGCAACTCGCGCGCGCACGTGATTGATTAATATACATATACGATGCGTGCACAGAGACGCATTACGAAATCTCTTGAAAAATCGGAGACATGTAAATACATAGAGATAATGCCATAACTACGAAATTATATGAATAAAGTATTGAAAATGTGAACCAGACTGTGTTGCTACCTTGTTTCCTTGTTTGAAATTGAGGCGCGGCTTTGGGCTTGTCCGCCCGTGAATTTGATTTTATTAGGTGCTGTCTGCTTTTAAAGTCTTTTCGTTGAGAGACGAAGTAACTGGTCGAAGAATGTAATCTGTTACTCCGTATACCAGAATCGTATACGTCAGTGTTCGTATACTTAAATAAAAGATAATTACACGTCGCCTGCTACAAGGTGAGTAGAGATTATCTATTAGCATTGACCTTATTTCTTTTATGCAATTTTAAATCCACCTTAAGCTTGCTATTGTAAAAAGAGGTTATGTTTACTTTTGAATATAACCTATTTAGAAAACAAATTTCAATAAAATAGAGCAAGGAGGAGTTTGCAACCTTTAATAATGATAAATTAAAAATACAATGAACAATCACTAATAAATATTCTTATAGTGATTACTTTTAATAAATCATGGATTAAATAAATTGTTAATTCAGTGAAAATGATTGATATACAGGTTAAATATACTTCTAAGCGATTTATGTTTCTTCAAATCGAATCTTTGGAAATGAAGCTTCCTTTTCTGCTATGAATTTAATCTTCATGATCAAGATAATATTGTTTTGATTAGATGTAACTGAACAATGTAACTGTTACTTGACTCGTTACACCGTTTAGCAAAATGCCGGAAATCAAGATTACTCCCTTGGGAGCTGGCCAGGATGTTGGAAGAAGCTGCATTCTTGTGACAATGGGTGGAAAAAATATAATGTTGGACTGCGGCATGCATATGGGGTTTAACGATGAAAGACGGTTTCCAGATTTCTCGTACATCGTCCCAGAAGGTCCAGCAACTAACTATATCGATTGTGTGATCATTTCACACTTTCATTTAGATCATTGCGGTGCTCTACCATACTTCACGGAGATGGTAATACAATTCATTATGTCGATCATATTGAAATATTAAATTTTTATTTGTATTCTATTTTATAGGTAGGCTATACTGGTCCAATTTATATGACACATCCTACAAAAGCCATTGCACCTATATTACTCGAAGATATGAGAAAAGTAGCTGTAGAGCGTAAAGGAGAGAGTAATTTCTTCACTTCGCAAATGATAAAAGATTGCATGAAGAAAGTAATTGCTGTTACATTACATCAGTCTGTTATGGTTGACCCAGAATTGGAAATAAAAGCATACTATGCAGGACATGTACTTGGTGCAGCAATGTTTTGGGTTCGTGTTGGCTCCCAATCAATTGTATACACAGGAGATTACAATATGACTCCTGATAGACATTTAGGAGCTGCATGGATAGATAAATGCAGGCCAGATTTATTAATATCAGAGTCAACATATGCAACGACCATCAGAGATTCCAAAAGATGCAGAGAAAGGGACTTTTTGAAAAAAGTATACTCTGATTTATTTATGTTTTAACTAAAAACTTAAGTGTATGTTTTAAGTATCGTCTGTGATGCACAACATTTTTCTTACAGGTTCACGAATGTATAGACAGAGGTGGAAAGGTATTAATACCTGTATTTGCTCTTGGACGTGCTCAAGAACTTTGTATATTATTAGAAACATATTGGGAAAGAATGAATTTGAAAGTTCCTGTCTATTTTGCTCTAGGATTAACAGAAAAGGCTAATAATTACTACAAAATGTTTATCACATGGACTAACCAGAAAATTAAGAAAACTTTCGTACAAAGAAACATGTTTGATTTCAAGCATATAAAACCGTTTGACAAAGCCTATATTGATAATCCTGGGGCGATGGTAGTATTCGCTACTCCAGGCATGTTGCATGCTGGATTATCTTTACAAATTTTTAAAAAGTGGGCCCCAAATGAAGCAAATATGGTCATCATGCCCGGCTTCTGTGTACAAGGAACAGTTGGACACAAAGTTCTAAACGGTTCTAGAAGGATTGAGTTTGAGAATCGACAGATAGTAGAGATCAAAATGTCCGTCGAATATATGTCCTTTTCTGCACATGCTGATGCAAAAGGAATTATGCAATTGATACAATATTGCGACCCGAAAAATGTTATGCTAGTACACGGGGAATTCGCGAAAATGGAATTTTTGAAAGAAAAAATTAAACAAGAATTTGGTATTAATTGCTACAATCCTGCGAATGGAGAAACTTGTGTTATAACAACTATTTCTAAAGTTCCGGTTGATGCGTCTTTAGCATTATTGAAAGCAGAAGCGAAAAGGTATTCCGCGTTGCCACCGGACCCTAAACGACGAAGATTACTGCACAGTGTTTTGATGTTACGAGAAGACGGAGCGTGTCTTGTAGATGCGGATGAGGTATTTAATATTTATTTAAGATATCAATGTCGTATGTATATATATATGTAATGGAAAACACTGCTTTTTTATTTAAGGTGACAAAGGCAGCTGGCATAATGAAACATATCGTACGATTTACGTCTACAGTCCAAGTAAGAGACCCTGGTCCAGCACATTCCACAACTTTAAAATTGCTGCAACCTTTGAAAGAAAGACTATCAGGATGGACAGTTCAATTAACTGATGGATCGATATCAGTTGAATCTGTTTTGGTGAAAGTAGAAGGTGATGAAGATGATCAAAAAAGCGTGTACGTTTCGTGGACAAATCAAGACGAAGATTTAGGTAGCTATATTTTAGGATTTTTGCAAACAATGTTGAATTAAATAAACTTACAATGTTTAAAGACCATTATCATGAACATTAAAAATGTATAGTTTATATATTTTAAGAATTTGTTTGTAATCTGTGATACCATTATAATAAAAAAAAAAATAATTTTTAAGGAAGAAGCAAGCAAGATATTTTTTTGTAATATTATCCATTGTATTTTAAAATAAAATATTTAACTAGAAGTATAATTGCTAAAATGTATGAAATTTATTGCGCCAGAACAACAATTGAATGATGTTTTAACGTTTCCGTTTTTATAACTTTTACTCGTACATTTCTTTTATTTATATTACAGTAACTACATAAAAATACCTATACAAAAGTAATTTGCGGTCGCATTTAACTTTTGGATTGCAAGTGAGTTAAACATGAGTAAAAAAATATAAACACACACCAAATCATTTTTTATAATTATCTCCTCGTTTATTATATTGCCAAAGAAAAACAAAAGTAATTGTATAAAATATGTAAATATCAATGATCGTATTATCTGATTCTGAAATTGTGATTAAATAAATTACAACTGATCGTACATACAAGTTGTTACTT